AGCAGATGCACGTACAGTGGTCCAAAAAAATAAAGTCGGAGTTTTAATGCCGGCACACCCTAGGATTGATCTATATTGAAAAAATATACCCCTATTTTTTTATTTTGAAATCAAAAAATATTTAAGGAGTGCTCAAGGTGCTCAAAGTTTTCCATGTATTTTATATGGAGAAAAAACAATTTTTCGTAGAAATGGTATAAAACTCTTGAAAATCAATATTTTTCGACCGGAAAACTGTGGTTCTCTTCAGGAGACTTCCAGTATTAATATCCAATTGTTTAACCATTTTTTATGATTAAAGATTTTTTATTGGTCCCCACATTGCATTTGCTAAGGGCTTTGGAGGACCTATAAAATATAGTTACCATGAAAAATTTTTTAAAGAAACAATTGAGTATTATTACTGAGAATCTCCTGAAGATAAGTAAAGTTTTGCGATCGAAAAATATTGATTTTCAAGAATTCTACACTATTTATACTAAAAGTTGTTTTTTCTCCATATAAAATACCTGGAAAACTTTGAGCGCTTTGAGCACTACTTAAATTATTATTTTTTTTCAAAATAAAAAAATATGGGTATATTTTTTTCGGTATATAACAATCCTAGGGGGTGGCGGCATTAAAAATCCGACCTTATTTTTTTTACCACTTTAACGTACATACGAAATAGAAATGTTTCTATTTTCATCTGACACACAGATAGAATCATCTGAGTTTAGTTTATTTCGTTTTCAAATAACGTATTTTTAAATAGGTAAATAAAGACTGTGAATTTGACAGACGTACGCAATTATATATGTATTGAAAAAGTAACATTTACAGATGGAAATACATATCGTATAAGAACACCTTTAGCAAGGCACTGTGTATGTGTTCGTGTGTGTTCAGGCAACTTTTGCGTTCAACTCATGCAGGGTTGCACGAAAAAAAAAATTTAATGGCCAAAAAATATCAAAATATTCGCCATAAAAAGGCGTTTGCATTGTTTAACTTTTCATTATACTTTTGGTTGAACGGCCTTTCAACAAATCGCTTTCACCAAGTTGGTCGCCAGCCAACATTTAGCCATTCAACTTTTTTTTTCGTGCAACCCTGCGTGAGTTGAACGCAAAAGTTGAACGCAAAATCGCCTCGTGCTAACACCTTTTAAAGCTTTTGTAAGGGAGTTAAGGGAGTGTCAAAACTCTAATGTCACTAGTGAGCAAACATGTTATATTTGAATCCTGTCCTCTTAGAATGAAATTTCCCCTACTACAATTTCGATAACCTTCAATACGAGAATGCTCGTCGCTACATACGAACAAAGACGCGCGCTCAAAAGTCCGTCAACTATCTTTTCGCGTGTTTCTTCGTCTTATTATCTTATGCATTTTTTTATGTACTTATCACAACGCTCTTCAAAAGAGGCAAAATTCCAAAAAAATTTAGATTTTTTTACTTAAACCAATTCGAAGGACTTTTCTCCAATTATTGTAAAAAATTGTTTCTTCATGATTATGTTCCCTAACTATAAAAACTAACTATATACCTGTTTTTTATTAATTGCGTTGAATCTGTACGATCCACAAGCAGTTATATTTGAGTTGTTCCTCTTTTGAAGGCGGTCTGCGATTTGTACATAAGTGCATATATGTATCATATATTTTCGAATTTTCTCAAGATCCGACACGGATGCGGAGCACAATCTTATAAAGGAAGCTGCCTTAAAAGCCGGTGCCTTCGCAGCTGTTCTATGTACGCATTGGAGTGATGGAGGTGAAGGCGCCGTTGAGCTTGCCGATGCGGTTATAAAAGCGTGTGAACGTCCAACAGGGTTTAAACTACTTTACCCCAATAAGCTGGCACTGGAGGAAAAAATGAATGTAATTGCACAGAATATGTACGGGGCCAGTAAAGTAGAGCTGACTCCAAAAGCTCTAGCATCTATAAAAAAACTAAATGCAGCTGTATGTACTTTTCATCATTATCATTTACCGTTCTTTCATACCATTTTTATTTAAAGGGCTTCAACGATCTACCTGTTTGTATGTCTAAGACGTCAGGCTCCTTAACCGGTGATGCCGCTATCAAGGGTGCACCCAAAGGTTTTACTTTGCCTGTGCAAGATGTGTATGTCTCCGCCGGTGCTGGTTTTGTAGTAGCAATGTGTGGCGAAATCACCAAAATGCCTGGACTATCTACCCGTCCTGCCATATATGATATTGATTTAAACACAGAAACTGGAGAAATCGAAGGATTGTTCTAAAGGATTTTATAAAGTACTTAACATAATGGTATATGTACATTTGCACACATATGTATGTACTATATATGTATTATATGTATGTAGTCACAAATGTTTGTGCATTTCTAAGGACAATAAAATTGGCATTCATAAAGATGTATGTAAGCAGTTGATCACAATGGTCGGTTATATATTACCCCACCCGTGCAGGGACCACAACCTGATAACATGAAAAGTCAATGTTTGTTCAAACGTGCTCTTACAACAGCAACATTTATTTTATACTTTAAGTTTTAACTATTTTAAACAATAAAAGGCTTGTGCCAATTGATAGAAAAGAGGTTAAGGTTTGATAAACTGACAGATGTCTCTCTCGCACTCGCTCCCTTAGCTGTGGCACCGTGTTGGTTCTTTGCAAAATTACTTGAAAAATAGTACCTTACGTGTGAAATAGAACTATACGTTTTTGGGCAAAATGTTTATTTTTATACGATTATATTAATAATAATAGTTCCAACGGTTTTACCCTCCTTTCCCGCCCATCCACACGAGGGACGCAGTCCGCATGACGTACGGAACCATTATTTTAAATTTTTGCGCCGAGTCACGAAAGGCAGAAGTTGGTTAAGTGTCGAGATCTAAAACTGTTCAGCTACTGAACTAAATTCATCAGCTGATTTTATGTCTTTATGTTAGTAGTTCATTTATTGAGATACGATAGTATCGCTTTTTTAATGCTGAAGAGCGGATCTGATATATCAAAACGTCCTGGAAACGTGGATAAAAATTCTGGCATAAGCAACGGAATGGCTCGTTTATGTTGTGTAGCTGGCTGTTGTGGCAGAGGTAAGTGGCAGGTTGGCATGCTTGTGGGCCCAGGCTAGCTCGACGGCCAAGTGGGGGGGTTGTTTGCCACCCCTCCACCTTCAGCTACAACAAAAAAAAATTTTCTATAATGCCAAAATATAAAAAAGAGAAAGCGAAAGAAATGGAAGCCTGTCCGGGTCAGTTGGAGCCATACCACCCCTTCTAAGAGCCGACGGCACTTAGCCTTGAGTTCCGCCGGGGCTCCTAGTTCATCAAGCGAAACTCCCTTTTCCTGACCAAGTCCGCTAGTCAAACGTTAGTCACCTGTTAAATCGTCATGTCACCTGTACTATACCCACGTTCCCTCTGAGCTGCGCCCAAGCAGCACCCACACCAACCTGAAAATTCCTAGCACTCCATGCTAAATAATAATATTNGGATAGTATCGCTCTTTAACACATTATTTCATAGTAAGTATATTTAATAGGTCCTCCAAACCCCTAGAAAATGCAATGGAAAAATCTTTAATCATAAAAAATGGTTAAATAAACAATTGGATATTAATACTGGAAGTCTCCTGAAGAGTACCACAGTTTTCCGATTGAAAAATATTGATTTTTAAGAGTTGTATACCATTTCTACGAAAAATGGTTTTTTCTCCATATAAAATACATGGAAAACTTTGAGCGCTTTGAGCACCCCCTAAATATTTTTTGATTTCAAAATAAAAAATAGGGGTATATTTCTTTCGATATAGAACAATCCTAGGGGGTGCCGGCATTAAAATTCCAACTTAATTTTTTTGGACCACTCTAATGTATATGCACGTTTTTATATATTAGGTGCAATCCCGTATTACTCGGACTCGGACTAGTAAAACTGTCAAAAAATAAAAATTCGCTCAGAGCGAGAGAGTAACATTGAAAAGTACGGGATCGCTTTCTAGTAAAAAATGGTAACTTCTGTCAACTTCAACATAACCTCCAAATTGTGGTTGTAAATTTTTGCTTATTTGTATGTAAACACACTCAGCTCACACATGTAAATAACCAAAAATACTTTCAAATTCATTAGAATCCACTTAAAGAAGTAATTAAATACTTTTCAACATGAATTAGCAGAGTTCACTTTTCTTTTGTTTACAATTTGGTTGCCAAACACACTACAGTTGATCGTTTGACACATTTACCAGAATTTACCAGCAAAAAATTCTCGGAACTGGTAACTTCTGACAGAGAGAGAACCGTATTTACTCTCTTTTTTGTCCTCTCAATGGTCAGAGAACCGAGTACGGGATCGATTTCCAGTAAAATCTGACTGATTCTGACTCGTACGGGATCGCAACTATTATTATTTTTTTCTACCGTTGGTGACCCTTCTTAACGCTACTGAGTATGGATGTACATGTATATGCAAATGTTAAACAGTAGCACGATTGAGAGAATACAAAGGTTACGCCGATCTCGGACCGCTATTCCTCTCTTAACGAATTTGACAGAATCGTTGTTTGCATGAGGTCACACTTGTGCAACTTGTTTACGTTTTCCTTGCAACATTTTTTCTTCTTCTTCGATTCTTGCTCACGTTTTGGCATTTCTCTCTCGCAATTGCACCAGTGTGACGTCACTCAAAAGTTATTCTCAAAAATCCTCTCTGATCGGCGCAATCTTGTATTCTATCATTCTTGAAACAGTAGTGATTTCTCACATACCAGTATGTGTGTATATAGTATGTCCACCGATGCTAGCGCCAGTATGCAGACTACCTGGAAAGTGTTGGGGAAGAAAAACAAAGCATTCATATGTACATATAACTACTGAAAGGAGAGTAGGCAAACAAACAGAAATAGGTGGTGTGGTGGATCACGGTTAGTGAATACAAATGCCCCCACAAATTAAATGTCTTTTGGACGTATGTATGTATAGCGGCGAGTGTGAAAAAATAATAATAAAAATAAAATACGAAAGTAATTAATAAACCAAAAAAAAAAAATTATATCTATAACTTAACGTTAATAATAACAAAAATTGTGTGTGAACGGCAAAATAAGTGATCGGACTAATGTTACTGATAATAGGAAACTGCAATTATTTGGCAAATAAGAACTAAGGTGTAACGCGAGTACAGAGTACAAAAAATAGAGCGTGATGAATTTAAACTGAATGTCAAAAATCAAAAATAAACCTAATGTAAGTAATGTGGTGAAAACAAAACTAAGCTTAGGACAACTAAATCCGAAGAAAAAGGTGATGAAATGGAAAACTAACGAAAATTCAAAAATGGTAATTAGCAAAATGCGATAATAAGAGAAAAAAACCAAAGTTGTGCAAAAATAATAATTCCATAAATTAATAAACTAAAATAAACCAGGTGTGCTGCTGGAACGCGGTTTATTAGCGATGCTGGCGTTTTTTAGTGCGATGTCGATGCTACCGATTTATTTGCCCTGCTGCGGTGTTGTTGGTGATCTGCGACCTTGCTATGGCCGGTACTGTGAAAATGCAGCCGTATAAATGTATGTGATACTGGGATGTAGATGTGTTTTGGCCTTTGTAGTTTTTTGTATTCTGGCTTTTTTGATTGATGTTGCTGAGATGGTGTTGCGTGTTAGCCGGGTGACTGTTAAAAGCGTGGATTGCGCCGGTGGGGCACTTAGTGTTGCCGACAATTTTCTTACAATTTCGTTAGCGCGGCCCGGATATACATTTAACTACTTTGTTTATCTCAGTGAGAGGGCAGGACCAGGATGCATGTATTTGCATAAAAATTTATTAAAGCAAAAATATTTTGGGTAGGCGT